AGGGCAGGTCCTTCTCAAACCCAGCCGTTCTCACTAGTAGAGATTGTCGAAGTTGATGGTCTGTACCAAGATACCCTTGTGTTGCAGTGTCTGACAGTGCAACACAAGGGTATCTTGGTACAGACCATCAACTTCGACAATCTCTACTAGTGAGAACGGCTGGGTTTGAGAGGGACCTGCCCTCCCAACGCAACCTACGTCTCACCTCCTGGCACTATAAAAGGCTCCATCCTGTCACTTCAACTTCATATTGTTTCAGACAACGGAACAATGCTCTTCTCCAGACTGAGGGACTGACCACCTCAAAACTTTAAGGGTGATGGACTGATTACATCGTCTTCAAGTATCTTCTGCTTCTATCAACTTTTCTGTACTCGACTGAAGAAGCCTACTGTGTAGGCGAAACGTTTCGAAATAAAGATACCTAACTGTTGCATATGTGTCTTACCTAACAATCTGTCGGTATTTTATACCATTTTAATGTTCAAAATGAATCTCACCATGAATCCCTATAATTCACATACTATAGACGGAAGTCTGAAGATTCCAGAAGAAATAATAATACCTGGAGAGTTTACCTGAAGAGAGTTCCGAGGGTCAAAGCCCCCGCGGCCCGGTCTGTGACTAGGCCTCATGGTGGATCAGGGCCTGATCAACCAGGCTGTTACTACTGCCCGCACGCAATCCAGCGTACGAACCACAACCCGGCTGGTCAGATACACTCTTTAGGTTCCTATCTAGTGGCTGCTTGAAGACAGTCAGGGCCCTATCGATAATCCACCTTATGTATGCTGAGAGGCAGTTGAACAGTCTTGGGGCCCTGACACTTACTGTGCTGTCTCTTAACGTGCTAGTGGCACCCCTGCTTTTCATTGGGGGATGTTGTATCGTCTGCAGAGTCTTTTGCTTTCGTAGGGAGTGATTTTTGTGTGCAAGTTTGGTACTAATCCCTCTAGGATTTTCCAGGTGTATATAATCCTGTATCTCTCCCGCCTGCGTTCTAGGGAGTACAGGTTGAAGAACTTCAATCGTTCCCAGTAACTGAGGTGTTTTATCGCAGTTATGCGGGCCGTGAAGGTTCTCTGTACACTTTCTAGGTCAGCAATTTCACCTGCCTTGGAAGGTGCTGTTAGTGTGCAGCAATATTCCACCATAATAATAATAATAATAATAATAATAATAATAATAATAATAATAATAATAATAATAATAATCCTTATTTCTACAAGTACATGGTATACAGGCCTAACTGACATACTACTATACAGAAAGCCCCTTTGTTATGCAGAGCATTTCGGGCAAATTAGGTGATCAATTTTGTCCCCAGGATGCGACCCACACCAGTCGACTAACACCCAGGTACATATTTTACTGGTGGGTGAGCAGGGACAGCAGCTGTCTTAAGGAAACACGTCCTAATGTTACCACCCGTACCGGGGATCGGAGCAAGAGCCAGAGCGTAAGTTTATTTAGGTATATATGTATTTATTTTTATTTATTTATTTATTTACAATTTGAGCACACATACAGAGGTACAAAAAAATACAGATAAGAGCAGCATGCCAAAGCCACTTATACTATGCATAGCATTACGGGCTGGCTTAAAATTAACTTAAGATTAACTAAGCAATGATGAAATCAGTGATAAAACATTACTGTAAACAGATAACTATAAAGCACAAATGAGTATTACAAAGACAGGTCATATGGTTGCTTGCATTGCTGTACATTCAGTCGTATGAAGTATTCTGTTAGGTAGTGTATAATTTTCATACATAGTTTAACATGTGTACATTATCTAAGATAACCGAAAAAGTCAGACAAAGTGACTTATTTCCACGGACTCTTAAAGAATCACGTGATCCATCGCTTCCCAGTGTTATGACTGGTGAACAAGTTCCAGTATTTGAAATGGTTAAAATCATAATAATTTTTAATGGATGGAGGGGTAAGCCAATGGAAGGCCTCGATCAGGTGACCAAAAGCTACCAGCTGTGGGTCATCATATGACTTAAGACCCGCGTCAGAAAACACTTGTCCTGTTTCCTGACAAACATTACCTAAGTTACAGTAATAACAAACGATTTACAAGTTACAATGATAAATGAACGATTTACAAGTTACAGTGATACTGAACGATTTACAAGTTACAATGATAATGAACGATTTACAAGTTACAATGATAATGAACGATTTACAAGTTACAACGATAAATGAACGATTTACAAGTTACATTGATAATGGACGATTTACAAGTTACAATGATAAATGAACGATTTACAAGTTACATTGATAATGAACGATTTACAAGTTACAGTGATAAGCGATTTACAAGCTACAGTGATAGTGAGGTGCAGCTTCCCCATTAATAATAGACGAAGGAAGAACAAATGAAAAGGAAAGAGAGGGGGAGGAAGGAGAATTAGAAAGAGAGGGGAATGGGAAGAGAAGAGAGTGGAAAGCGTAGGAAGAGGAGAGGAAGGAAGCTGTAGGAAGATGAGAGGGGTGGGAGAAACAGACAGAAGAGGAGGACGGAAGGCGTGACACAGAAATCAAGACAACCAGTCAACTTGCAAGGTCTGACCACAAAGACCACACCTTCATCAGCATCTCAGTCTAACCTTCCACACACACACACACACAGCTTCACTCAGGTACGAGCAGGGAGTAGCACCCGCGTGAAGGTTTAACCATAGTTACACCAGAAATCTGTAACACAGAAGGGTTTCGTTTTCTTTGAATGTCTGCTATGGGATTTCTCAGGGGGCGTGTGTTCGAAATACGAGAAAAGTGAGAGTTATTTCGAACATTGTAGTAAAGAAGTGGTCGTTAACAAGTGATCTTGTATGTGGCTTACTGACCAAATTAGATTTAAACTCATTTAGATTTTGCCGCCGAAGAAGCTAGTTAATTGTGCACTCTTATTTACATCTTATTTACGGTTTTAGCAAATTTATTGTGCACCCCATATCCATGCTGTGCACACTAGAGTCCAGTATATTGTAGACTATAACCATCCTATGGACGGTTGTAGCTAATTTATTGTGCGCCCCATATCCATTCTGTAGGTAAGTAAGTTTATCCAGGTATACACAAATACAGTTACATAGATTATCATACATAGCAGCATATGTGTAGAGAACCTAGGATAACTCAAATATACTGCTATGTATGATAATCTACGTAACTGTTTTTGTGTATACCTGAATAAACTTACAGAATGGATATGAGGAGCACAATAAATCTGCTAAAACCGTCCATAAGATGTAAATAAGAGTGGACAATTAACTAGCTTCTTCGGCGGCAAAATCTAAATGAGTTTAAATCTAATTTGGTCAGTAAGCCACATACAAGATCACTTGTTAACGACCACTTCTTTACTACAGTGTTCGAAATAATTCTTCACTTTTCTCGTATTTCGAACACACGCCCCCCTGAGAAATCTCACAGCAGACATTCAAAGAAAACGAAACCCTTCAGTGTTACAGATTTCTGCTATAACTATGGATGGTAGTGTCCAGTTTATTGTAGATCCTATACCTGGTTCCAAGGTTCTCCTATACCTGTCTTGTGGACAGTTAGTGGCTAGTTTATTGTACACCACATATCTATCCTGCGAACGGTATTAGATATTTAAAGAACAATACCGTGACTGGAACAATACACAAATAACCCGACGCTTTCGCTCCAAGTCAGACCGAAACGTTATCATATGTTTCGGTGTATGTCCGGATTGCGTAGTAGCTACCTTGTTATGCACCCAATGTACATCCTGTAAATGGTAGTAGCTAGTTTATTGTACATTCTGTATCGGTGCTGTGGACGGTAGTGCGTTATCACATGGATGTAAGTAAACATATGTACAATTATCATACATAGTTTAACATATGTGTAAATTACCTAGGATATCCCCCCCCCAAATTATTATTATTATAATCAAAAAAGCGCTAAGCCACAAGGACTATACAGCGCTGCCCCCCCCCCCCCAAAAAAAAAAAAAATTGACAAAATAACTTATTTCCGTACAACTAACTGCAAACTAAACCATAAAAGTATTAATTGATTTTTGCTAGGTAGCTTTGATAGTGGAAATATTATACTTAACGAGGTATTGATCGGGTCGTTATGTACTTAACTTAAAGAGGAATTGATCGGGTTATAAGAACACTGTCATGTCATTAACTTAACGAGATATTGATCGAGTCATCATGTCATTAACATAACTAGGTATTAATTGGGACATCATGTCATTAACATAACCAGGTATTGATCGGGTCATCATGAAAAAGAAGACAAAGAAGGTATCAATGACCTGTCCTAGACCTTGAGTAAGTAATGCTGTCGACTAGCGGAACAAGAGAGGCAGTGGGAGGGTAACATTACCGTGCCAACAAGCCAACACCGCCACAACGGTTCTTCACGTGGTTTGTCACCTGCTCATATGTGCTGACAAATGGAGGCTTTTTTTTTTTTTACATTTTGCCTCGAGGGGCGCGAGTTTGTTGGACAGTGCCACTCATTCCCTGAGTGAGAAAAAAAAAAAAAAACACTACCTTAACGACAGCAACGATACGATACTGTAGATATCAACTGTATCCTTTGATGTTTCAGTATTAAGGCAACACTACCACGACAAATAATAATAATAATAATAATAATAATAATAATAATAATAATAATATCATTATTATTATTATTATTATTATTATTATTATTATTATTATTATTATTATTATTATTATTATTATTATTGTTGTTGTTGTTGTTGTTGTTGTTGTTGTTGTTGTTATTAGGGAAGCGCTAATTCCGTAAGGGTTCATATAATACCTTATGAATGGGAAGTACAGAAGCAGCTTCATTGCTCCAAGACCTGGTGCTGTCTTAGTTATTTGTCAACTTATGGAGCTGTAGATTTTTTTTTAATTCACATTTGAGATTCACAAGATTCCACATCATTATTTAGAATGACGAAGAAATGTTTTTATGTTTGTCGTTCCAGGTCGTAAATGTGGCAGGAGAACAAGAGAAGAGCATCGGGTTAAAGTGTCGAGAATTTGAGAGTGAGGATTAGGGTTCAGTGTTAAGCCATTTAACGAGGGATTCATATTAATAGTGTTTATACACTCACAGTAACTAACTCTGGGAGAAGAAAGTTCTCAATGTGCTAATTCTATCATTGTAAATAGTTTACCAGAATGTGCATACCAAGCTAATGTTTAGTTTAATGAACTGAAGACTGAGTACAAACTACACCATCCTACAAGAGAAAAACGTATCCCCTACAACGTCGACAATAAACGTATTCCGCTTCTTTAACATTCGCAAATAACGATGGATGAGAGTGAGGACCTTCACAGTAGGAAATGCAGCGAGACGACACCTTTGATCTCAGGAAAGGGATCTACTTGGCCTGAACTCCCGACCTGGACAAGACCTTCCCGGCCCCTCCTGCCGACCCCGGCCACACTCCGTCAGCGCCTCGCGTATGTGGTGAACAACGTGACTGTGGAACCTATCATGTTTCTCAACATATTCGCATGGACTCTGCAGACCACGCTGGTGACTAACATGGTGCTCGAGAAGGTGAGACACCTCTATATCTCTGGTAGTCCAGTATAATCTATCATGCTATAGTAGGGGCCTATAGAGAAATAAAATTATTTAAATGAACATTTGTATTTATTTATAAGGAAGTGCTAATCTGTAAGAGTCACTCGGCACCTTAAAAATGGAAGGGATAAACAGGTTTGATCTCAGGAAGAAAATATATGTCCAATGATTCAAATCAAAAGCCTAAGAGAATAAATAGGTCTTCAGGGAATTTACTCGGATTTCTAAGGCTGTTTTTAGTTCTTTTTTACCCTAATACCTTTTTTATGTCGGGAGAAAAATTCCAGTTTTCCGTATTTCGATTTTTTTTAAGACAGTGTTTCCAGACTTGGCCTAGTCAACCGGAATCGTTTTACTAAACTAGGCTATCTTATAGTTAACTCTGCTATAACTCTGCTAATATCGGGAGGAAGAATAGATTTAAGGGGGAGGTAAAGAGGTGTCGATGTTCCAAGAAGTCATGTATGAGCATTTTTAAATCACACTAAGTGTGGGTAAGTGATTTTGCGAAGATGTACATCTCTCAGTGTATTTACACAGCGAAGTGAATATCGTCAATGTATTTACACAGCGAAGTGAATATCTGTCAGTGTATATACACTGAGAGATATTCACTTGATCTCGTAGTGTATATGCACAGAGGAGCATAACCCTCAGTGTACGTACAACGAGAGGTGTTTATCTCTCAGTTCGCACACTGCACAGTATACCGCGGTTTTTTAAGGTTTCAAGTTATCTTGACGATAAGTATACATGCGTACTGCAGCCTTAACGACCCTACATTTAATAGTTCTTATTCAGGTAATAAGGGCGTAATAAATCTCACAGTTTCCTCTCTGTAATACTTCCTTACTGGTTTAGGAGTTCTGGTCCGAGACTGAGCCGCGGGAGCCATGATAACCTTTAATTATTGCAAGATAACTCCAGGTGTGTGCGGATCGGTACAATCACACTGAAGCCGAGTGCCAGAACCTCACCACTGAGGTAGCGACGGAGGCAACGATGGAGGCTGGGACGGAGGGCATGCAGCGAGACACAGCCTGGGTGATGATGATGCAGGAGATAGTGGCTAGCCTGCCTGCGGTGGTCTATGTGCTCCTGCTGGGGTCCTGGAGTGACACCCATGGCAGGAAGCTTCCTATGCTGCTATCGTTCACTGGTAGCTTCATAGCCACAATCGTTTATATGGTAGGTGATTAACGTAATATTCAGTAGTGGTAGTAGCAGTAATAGCAGTAGTGGCAGTAGCAGCAGTATTGATTGTAGAATTTGTGATAATGGCAGTAATAGTGGTGGTAGAAACATTTGTAAAAGCAGTAGTAATATTTGCGATAGTAGTACTCATTTGTTTTCAACAAACTGGCTGCATCCCACCGAGGCAGGATGACCTAAAAAGAAAAACGAATTTTTTTCTTTATAAATTTAGTAATTTATACAGAAGGGGTTACTAGCCCTTTGCTCCCGGCATTTTAGACGCCTCTTACGACATGCCTGGCTTACGGAGGAAGAATTCTTTTCCACTTGCCCACAGAGGGTAGTATTAGTGGTGATAATAATATTAGTGGTGGTAATAATATTAGTGGTGGTAATAATATTAGTGGTGGTAATAATATCAGTAGTGATAGTATTATTAGTAACTGCAGTAATAAAGTGGGTGCAGCAACAGTCAGGATAAACATTTCACGAATAACCTTCCCTGAGAGAGAAAACTTTAAGGTTTTAAACAACTTTTCGGCTCACCGTAGACCATTATCAAGACACTGATAAGTCGTCAAAAATTTTCATCTCTAATTGTGGTTTTGTTTGTGAATTTTGTCAGTCACGATATTGTTGCTGTCACGGTATTGTTGCAGCCCGGATATTGTTGCAGTCACGGTATTGTTGCAGTCACGGTATTGTTGCAGCCACGGTATTGTTGCAGCCACGGTATTGTTGCAGTCACGGTATTGTTGCAGCCACGGTATAGTGACTTTAATTCATAAAGATAACACCGTTTCGAGCATGACTTTCTCCTTCCACCATTTTTCTCATGAGTATGATGATAATAATAATAATAATAATAATAATAATAATAATAATAATAATAATAATAATAATAATAATAATAATAATAATAATTCCTGCTTTGCAGATGAACGCTTTCTGGTGGTGGCTGCCCGTTGAAGACATCCTGGTGGCTGGTGTAGCCCGTGGCCTGACAGGTGGCAGCATTACCCTCCTCATGGCCACATACTCCTACATATCAGACCTCTCAGACCACACCTCCCGTACATTGCGTATCGCCTTCCTTGACTTCGCCATGTTCATTGGTGCTCCTGTAGGACTGTTCCTCAGCTGTGTCATCTTCTCCAGCCTTGGCTACCTCGGGGTGTTCAGCGTCAGTGGTCTTGCCTTTCTGGTAGCTATTATTTATATCCTCTTCTACATCGAAGACACAAAGAGTTCCTCCATCAGTGACAACAACAACTTGCCAGATCTTCCGCTAGGAAAAGATGTTTGCAGCAGTCAGCTCCGTGACATCTTCGACGTGAGGAACGTCATGAGGAGTCTGGCTGTAGCGGTCCGACGTAGGGAGAACTACGGTAGAGCTAAGATCCTCTCACTCATGATAGCCCTGTGTCTTCTCCTGTTTACCTCTGGTGAGTTTCGTTAGATCTGCTTAATCAACGCAGACTCACTCTCTCTCTTTCTCTCTCTCTCTCTCTCTCTCTCTCTCTCTCTCTCTCTCTCTCTCTCTCTCTCTCTCTCTCTCTCTCTCTCTCTCTCTCTCTCAAATCCGTTTATATTATTTCATCAGCAATACATTTTTAGATTTTTTTTTAAAATCCATTTTAATTCGAGGGACACAAGAACGAGATCTAATAAACCCAGAAGGCTTTAACGCCTTTTGGAATATAATATAGCCCAATATACTCTATCTTATTTCTCAAATTTTGCTCTAACATCCCACACCCTCTACTCTCTCTTCCACAGGTTCGAATCAGCTGGAATATCTGTACGCCAAGAGGATGTTAGGCTGGACATACTTGCAGTACGCCCAGCTCAATATATTTGACATAGTGTTTGGAAGTGTTGGTAAGAGAGGCTGGGGTACTCTTCTTGCTCATAAAAAAAATTAGTGTCAGTGTCTGCATAAGTGAACGAAGGATCGAGCCTCCGTCACTCAGTGCACTGAATGACAAATAGACATAGAATTTTCATAAAAAAATTATGGTTATAACAACCTATACACTTTTTTGCTATTGTTATTTGGGCTTTTTATTGTAATTGTTATGGTTTGTATTGTTATTATACGAAATATAATTGCGACCCGGCGGATTTTGTTCCCTATTTTGTTAAGTCCGTTATATGGAGGGCTAGAGAAAAAAAATTCATCTCACATTCTTCTATCGCAATTAGTGTCATGTTTACAAAGTTAATCAGAGGTTTCCACCTGTCACCTGACAGGGACGTCGCTGGTGTTGCCTGTGCTGAGTTACTGGCTTGGGGTGCAGGACACAGTGCTTGCTGTGGTGGGCTGTCTCAGTAAGACCTCGGGATTCCTCTTTACGGGTCTTGGAAACACTGCTACTCTCATGTATATGGGTGAGTTAAAACGAGTTTCATTTAGGCACGAGTTTTTTTTCTCTCTCTAGATTTATGCATTGTTTATTTTGTAGAATTCCCGAATGAAGTTTATGGGAGTTAACTCTTATGATATGACTTGCGACTGTCCTGGAAATCCCACTCTTTTCAACCTTGTTTTGAATGTGACAACAAGAGGAACTTTCCTCTTATTCTTCTGATCTTACTTTCCCAGGAGCTGAATGAACCCTAAGGGTTCATTCAGCTTCTGGGAAAGTAATAACAATAATAATAATTATAATGATAATAATAATAATAGCAGCAGCAGAGAAACTTTCTGTTGACTATCCATCTACGTTCATTCTAACAGGATATATACAAGAAGTGTATGTCTCTCTGTGTATATACACTGAGAGTTTGCGTAATTCCTATTTTTGGCATTAAAATATTCTTGCCGTGTGGTGTACAGGCGACGTGCGAAATTTATGACCCTCGTGTAGTTGAAAGGTCTTTAAATCCCATTAACCAACGTGTCACTTCATTATTTCAGGATATCTATACTAATTTTTTATATCTGGTTAGCAATAGTCTACCGTACAATTCTTGATTTCAAATTACTGCATACAGAAAATATACAATAATCTGAAGTATCCTGCGGATATTTAAATCCCTCAGCGTTTCACATGTTAATGTCAGACTCATTTGGAAATTTTCTGACAGCCTCGGTGGTGTCGTTCCTAGCTGGGCTACCGCTGATCGTGACCCGCGCTGTGATCAGCAAGCTGGTCCCTGCAGAGGAGACAGGAGCTGTGTTCTCCCTGCTGGCCGCCCTAGAGGCTGTGGTGCCCCTCATCTCCTGCCCAACCTACACCCTTACCTACGCCGCTACCCTAGATCTTTACCCTGGCACTATGTACTTCCTCAGCGCCATCGCCACTACAATGGCTGCCTTTATTTATACGTAAGTATATCCTTAAATCGTACTCGTTTTCTATTATACACTTGCTCGTTTTTTACTTGACTTTTTAGGAGAAACTATCTTTCTCTTTTTTTTTTTTTAAGTTAGTAAGTACCGCTAAAGAACTAATTAAGAACTTCGGCGGTTTCGATCCCGAACAACTGAAAACGTTGAGCATGTTTCCTAAGCCTGGTGCTCCTGTTTCCCTAGCAGTAATAAGGTTGACTGTCTGTTATGGGTTACATCCTGGATAAGATAACATAAGAGGGGTGAAGGGAATTAATGAACCTCAATGGAAATAATCCAGACAGACTGTATTATCCTGGGTTACTAACCTTCCGGGTTAATAATCCAAGCAAGATCTTATATACCGGCTGTTGAATGGAAGGTTATCATGTTTGATCTATGGAAAGGTAGGGTAGCCCCTATTCCTGTCAAAATATCGTGAAAATAAATCACAATTAACAAAGCTAACAAACCAGTATTTTATCTCTAATTTTTGCCCCAATTCCAGTATTATTTCATTCTGTGATCGTTAGTCGCCTGAAGAAGCAGATATTCATCAAGTCTTCTGAATACTCACTCACTGCCCTGCCTACTGACGGAGGCTCCTCATGGGTGTAGAGTCTCCTGAAGAAGCAGACATTCATCAAGTCTTCTGAGGGACTCACTGCCCTGCCTGCTGACGGAGGCTCCTCAATGACGATTGCTCCAAAAAATATCAAAGTCCGTTTTTCAACCGTGTGATAATACTAACAAATGCGGAAAAATACCCTGATTGTCCTTATTGTAAATAACTCCTAACCACTGTAATTTTCCTAAATGCAGCCATGACTTGATCAAAACTGAGTAACTGTAAATAATTCATATGCACATATAAGGTAAATATAAGGCTTTTGTGACCAACACAAGATATATATACCCCAAGATATGAACGTCACTCAGTGTACATAAACAGAGCTTAATCCTTATTTTAGAGATTAATGTGCTCCTGACGTGTGGTGAGCAGGTGACTTGCAGGCTGAATGACCTTCGTTTAGTCGATAGGCTTTCAACCCAATTAATCAATTTTGTGTGACTGATTCACGATTATAAATAACTCATTATTATCTCTGAATCCATAAATTTGTTATTTTTTTATCACTTCTGTAATTTGCATAGCCAACCAAAATTATTGGGATGAAAGCCACTAGACGCCTGATGTACCTCCCACAAGAGCAGCACAAGGGTGCATAGCGAAGATATTCAGCTAAGTACGTCCGCTTGAGTGAGCATCTGACCTCAGCCCGCCTCGACCCATTCTTCTTCTTCTTCTTCTTCTTATTCTTATTATTATTATTATTATTATTATTATTATTATTATTATTATTATTATTATTATTATTATTATTATTATATTCATGGGGGTTATATACAGCACCTGGAGAATGTGAAATAATCCGATTTGATCCAAAAATAACTGGAAAGTTGTGAATTTGATGAACATCGACACCATGCCCAGCCCTTCTAGGGTAGGATAGGTACCTGAGCCCGAGCTTACAGCTCACAAGACTGTCATTCCCATTATCCCCCTTGGGGCGGGGATGGCAGACCAGAGAAGCCTAGCTTGTGGCTACGCCTGGGGAGAGTTGGTCCCAAAGATGAGGGGGTACTTGTGCCTCCTCCCATGGGAGACTTAGGTCTCAGACACTCCCTAAAGAGGGAGCCAAGGCCACCACTTGGAAAAGGCCTGGGCCGTTAGAAAATACCGGCGAATCTTTAATAATAAAAATAAATAAATTTGATGAACACAAACAGAGAAGTAATTTGTCTTCAAGACTGCCATTTAAGTTGTGATCAATTATTCCTATAATTAGTAGTTGTAGTAGTAGTAATTGGCTCGCAGCTGAGTGTTAGCACCTTCTTCTTACAATCAAAGGACCCGAGTTCAATTCTGGGCAGTAGGAGACATTGTAGAACTCAACTTACACCTGGCATTAAATAGGTACCAGATGGTATACTGAGAGGAGTTATTATTATTATTGCGAAGGGTTCACACACAGCGATCCAATTCCTTGGATCAGAGCCACAGGATTCTCACTTGTCTGAGGGGATCACAAAGCTCCTCTTCTCTGGCACTGACATCCTGGATATCCTACGGGATGCCGTCGACTGTGTGATACACAGTCACTTGTATGATGCACAGTCGACCGTATGATGCACAGTCGACTGTATGATAAATGTGCATAAAATATGAATAATATACCTGATAAATATAAACAATAGCTAGCAGACGCGTGCCAGACAGTCATTTGTTTGGTAACAAGAATCAAATTATACTTATTACAGAGTAGCTAGCGTTTATTACACAATATTTAACAGTGGCATCACTTATATATATATATATATATATATATATATATATATATATATATATATATATATATATATATAATATATATATATATATATATATATTAATGAGCCCCAGATAATATTAGTTCAAGAAGTTCTTTATATTGGAATCAATAAAACTTATTTTTTAAAGTGTAAACAATCTTTATTAGGAAGTATATAAATTTTTATTAATATTTAAGGAATCATATCATGATGCATTTTTTATAACAATATAAAACTTCTTTATCATGACATAAATAATCTATATCTTTTTTTTACGTAAACATTTAAGAGTGTAACCAATTTACATCCGTATGTACAAGCAATTATCCCAGGATGTTAATAACATTTCTGTTTAATAATATAAACATCTCCAGACTCTTAACATTCTCTATAAAAATGTAAATGAAATCTGTAATGACGTGAAATAAAATGAATTTTTTTCTTATTTGGCGGACTTTTTCGTTAACCCTCCGAGCATTTGGTAAGCGTTGAGTATTTTGAGTTTTCTTCGTCGGCAGAAGCGTTGAGCATCATAAAGTGTTCGTTAACCATCGCAAGGAATCGTGTAACTCAACAGAACAGAGAAGACGGGGGGTAAGAGGACCTTAATGAGGAAAGAATAATGAAAACTAATTTTTTTGCCAGATGCTGAGCTGTGTTGGTACCAGTTTCTTGAGTGTATATTAAAAAAAAAATTGGTTTTATTATTTATACATTAGTGGAGCATTCAGGTATTGTGGCATCTACATGGAACATATTTTCTGACCCATAGTGATTCACTTTGTCTTGATTACCTTAATAAATCGTGATAAATATCTCAACACCAACCTGGCTGCAAAACAACAATTAACGGTATCACAATAAACCCTGAGTGACCAACGCTGGATGATACACTCACTGGAGAGGCTTCAGCAGAGGCTTCAACAGAGGCTTTAGCAGTCCAGACTGCGGTGCCTCGCCACAAGCTATCACATTCTCCTATTCTGTTCTCTTCCCACTTTTTTTTCATTCTCTGACACTGACCTTTCCACGGAGACAATTTACGTTCCAAGTGCTCAGTAACATGTCTTCAGCCTGGATAATAAGATGCTTAAAAAACACACACACACATTTAACAAATCTCAGAGGGGAAAATTATGCAGACTAGTAAATTAAGGAAAATGAATTTAAAAGATATGATTAATACCGTATAGTATTGATGTTATTGTTATTCCAAGATATTAACATATTACATGTTTTTAACTTTAAATACAAGAATAGAGTCCTCCTACACTTACGAAAATGACGATACACGGACGTTGAGGATTAACAAAGAAACACGAATTCCTTCCCTTGAGGTTATTTACCGATATTACTTACGGCTATTTGCTCTAAGAAGACACCGAGGGAGAATTTGAGCAGGTGGCAACATCTAGGATTACAGATATGTAACTTTTTCTTTGTTCATCTCGTGGAGTGTTTGAATGTTTGTGTTTTGAGATGTTTAGGAAATTAATAGGAAGGTAACTTAAAGCTAAAGCAAAGATGATTATTTATAGCTCACATACACACACAGCCAGGAGCTGTGACTCGACCTTTGCAACCCCAAATAGGTGAATACAAATAGGCGAGTACACACACCCACACAAACACCCACATAAATACCCACATACACACATATACCATATTTCTCTCTCTCTCTCTCTCTCTCTCTCTCTCTCTCTCTCTCTCTCTCTCTCTCTCTCTCTCGCTCTCTCATATTTAATTGTAGGCTAACATAATGAATAATAATAATAAATAAACACAATAAAATATTAGAACAGATATAATAACCTTATTAATATTAATAAAAAATAGTCATGCAATGACCTGACTTTCAGATACAGTTTCATGACGATGCAGAGATACAGTCAGAACTGTATTACTGATGTAGTCTTCTTTACTACTGCCGATACGGTTATACATCTCTTATTAACGGTTGTAAATCTTTTTCCGAAAGTCTTACATCTGTGCTCTCACACAACGAAGGTAAATAAATAAAAGGAATCCGTATTTACCGAACGTAACACTGATTTAAATCCTCCTAACATATATTTTACAGGAAGATAATAGTATTAAATCCTATCTCACATTTCTATTTCACAAAATGAGCAGAATTAAATCCTCCGAGCACATTTCTAACAAAGCGAAATAATTATTACAGGAATGCTACTTATGACATTTCGGACCGACTTGGACCATCATTACTTTATGGTCCAAGTCGGACCGAAACGTCGACATAAGTTTCGGTCTCCTAAGTGCGGATTATTTGTGTATTATTCCAGTCACGGCAGTGTGCCTTCTAATTCATTTATACAACAACATATATACGAAAATAAAATTTTATTTACTAATAAAAAAAAAGCTAGCCATGTATAGATGAAAATCAGAATGAGTGACACAAAATGTGGTGATTCAGAGCTCATATTGACGGCTGAAGAGGAATGATTTCTGTTGTTCTGTTGTTGACGTTTTTAGCCTTTGATTCTTCTCATGTTTATAGCTACCGTTGAGGCCTTGGATTCTTCTGATGTTTATAGCTACCGTTGAGGCCTTGGATTCTTCTCATGTTTATAGCTACCGTTGAGGCCTTGGATTCTTCTGATGTTTATAGCTAGCGTTGAGGCCTTGGATTCTTCTCATGTTTATAGCTAGCGTTGAGGCCTTGGATTCTTCTAGTTTCTTTGGATGAAAGTTATTGTAAGAATCCTCCATCAAGGAGCACCCATGACTCGCCATTAATATGTATTCCTACCCTGGTAAATATTCATCATGGTGATTATCCATGCATGGTTTTTACCATAAGTACACAAAATGGTACGTGCCTCCTCTGGTAAATGCTACCATTTCTGTCTAGTGTATCTACTATAATTGTCAACAATGGTAAATGTTTATCGTCAGTAACCTATGTAACTTTTATGTCAAGCATCTGATTGGTAAATGCCATGACAGTTTTAGTTTGATATCTTATTACCGCCATTGTTACACTGCTCTATGGAACCCGATTTTTTAAATGAAACGTTAGAAAAACATTACGCATTGGTTTCTACGATAAATGATGCTTTACTACGTATTGTGCTCAAGTTCATGGGCCCCCGTGTTCACTCGGCTGCTGTTACAACGAGAGAGCACTCAGGGGAGGCGCCTTGGTGAAGAGCTCTTGATCCAAGGACTTTAAACTACTTTTCCCTTCCTCGCATCGAACCTACTTGCCTCCCATTCCACCATTGGTTTTGCTTATCTATGTCTGCCATTTAAAGTTAGGTTAGGTTAGACTAGGTTATGTTAAGTTAGACTAGTTTAGGCTAGGTTATATATGGTTAGGATATGTTATAATATGCAGGCATTAGCTAGATTAGGTTAGGTTAAGTCAGTCTAGGTTAAGCAAGGATAGTCAAGTTTAGGCTAGTTAATCTATGTTAGGATGGGTTATATTGTACTAGTTTTCGCATGGTTAGGTTAAGGTTAAGTTAGCATAGGCTATTAAATTAACATAACGGAAGGGAAAAAAATATTGTGAATTGGTAGTAAGTTTTCTCGATAAAACAGCCGCCATGTAAACACGGAAGAGACGATGAACTACAACGAACGTCAGGAAATTAACGTTCACTTCACTGGCAAAAGAACGACTTTCCACGTTCTGCTGAACGCTCACGAACGCAAGTTCTCTAAAGAGGATACACTGTTATGTCGGTGTCACCATGGCTACCAAGATTACAGATGTGAATGATGACTGCGGGGATAATTGTTGACAAACACGGGAATGTGTAAACATGTTCCCGTATTAGAGGGAGATGAAGAACAATTGAAGGAGAATAACAGGAAAGAAGTTGATGAAAGAAGCAAGGAGGTAGAGGATGAATGAAGATACTTTTAAAAACAATATACAAAACGAAGAGGAAATGAAGGATTACAAAGAAGACAGTAAGAAAAGAAAGGAGAATCATTTGAAAGGGAACAACACTTATGAATTACATCAATGAAAAAAAGAAGAGGCACGAAGAAAAGTGTAATAAGTAAGTGTCTCTCCTAAAGTTCTAGACAGGACATATGTATATATGTATATATATATATATATATATATATATATATATAATATATATATATATATATATATATATATATATATATATATATATATATATATATATATATATATATACAATAGATTCACATAAACGTTCATGTTGCACATTATGAATAAAACACTAATTAAAAAAAATCTCATCGTCACATTGCATAGGGAAAAGCCGTCGTTGCATGCAATATGATACTGTAAATTTTGGAAAAAATTTTAGCCTCTGCCCACTTATGTGCCAATTTCTATCTAACACACTGTGAGATACAGTATTTTCTCTCCCCTCGTTGCCTCATTTCTCCTATGGGTGAGTCCATTGTCTTGAGGGGGAGGGAAGCCAGTAACCTCTGAAACACCCAACGTTGTGTGGACACGTCCAATATTTACTCATCCATGAACTGTTCAATCGATTTTCGATTTCTTCATCACTTTATCTTGTCTCTGAATATTAACCTTGGCATCTAGAAGTGGTGGTGGTGCTTCAGGTGCCACCATAAATATTAAGTGTGAAACTGTCAGTTAATAAGAAAACTGGAGGTATTAGACGAGAGTAGTGAATGAAGGCGAGAGGCAGTGAAGGATAATAACCCAAAATTACACTGTACTTAGGCATTTCTGCGCTTTTAGCAGTGAAGCGCAGAAATGCGTAAGTACAGTGTAATTTTGGGTTACTATGCTCATACCTAATCTGGCTTTATTTGTACCATTGTTGAACGTTTTGGTGATTGATGATAAAGTGTAAAAAGGTTTTAAATAGAAGTTTTTAGTGAAGAACTTGTTGGTTTTTTTTGAAAAGGATATAAGGGTTGTGTTGCGGGGCCCCTGCACAAAAAGCCTGATGAATTATTGCCCAAATCTGGAGGGTAAGGAGAGGGAAAACAAGTTTCCCCCCCAAAA